AACGACCAGGCTAGTCATATATTTGGTTTCTTTACACACGAGTCACTAAACATTTAATAATAGCCTTTATTTATACACATTATAAACATAACTGGCTCATTAATACACAAGGCTAATGAGGGAGCGACCTACTTCGATGCGGTTCCGTGTTACGAGTCAAGGAATGCTGAGCGGTGAAGCTGGTAATGATGATATGGACTATGGTTCCGTACCTAATAATATCGTCCACATAGAAATTCATAACGTTAGGACATTGCAAACCAAAAAGGCGGGCTACACAACTAGGTAGCTTTCAGTTCATGAAACTTAGTGGCTTGGTAAGTATCTACAAGTTTCATTAAACTACTAAGTATTCAAAGTTTAATGAAACTTATGTACCTAGATATTGCGCTAATTCGTTTTTAACCTTGTCATCGATTTAACTTCGGAATGGTATCTGTATCAAACTGATTAATCAGTAAGTTGGATATTAACGAACTCCGTAGCATTGATGATTGATTTTTGTAAAGACCAGACTCAAATTATTATCTCCCAGTTAAGTATTTGCCGTTCTGTGGCATCACCAAACAACGAGCCACCACGCTACTAACCGCTCTCTGCAAACAAGAGGCTATTGAGTGGTGGAAGTCTACATCGGGACAAAAACACTCAAAAGCACTCATTCAGGGATATAGCAACAAAGTAACTAAGGAACTGCTAAAGTTCAAAAGATACAAAGCCTGTGCAGTGACTAGAATACTGACCGGCCACTGCAAACTAAACAAACATAAATCGAACATGAACATGACCGAGGAAACTCTGTGCAGATTCTGCCATACAGAAGAAGAAACGGCCATGCATGTGCTTTGGTCGTACTTCCCGCGTATGAGTAAAAGAAGTATCCATCTCGGGCGACACATCATGCACCCGGATGAGATAGCAGATATCACGCTCCAAAGAATCTGGAAATTTATAGACTCAACGGGACTAAGCAGTGAACTCTAAAGACAAGGGCTGCCACAATAGATCAAACCTGGTCGAGTTGGCGCAAGTAAAGGCCCAAAAACCAATAATAATAATAAGTATTAGCAAACTAAAGCTTATTAAGCAGTAAATTCCTAAAAAATAGCCTAGTTCTCTTTTTGTTCTACATTTTGCGAAGAAGAAAAAAGACGAAGGGTAATTATTTATTTTAACTGCAGCAGCTCAGAAGCCATCAGCGCTCTTGAAACGTTAAGATCTATTACTATGATCGATAATCCTTTCTTCATTCATGAAACCGCCACAGAACCCCAAGCCCATCTGCTTAGTATTATCGCGATACTCTTGAATCTCGATTCACCGCGGGCGCATCGATCTAATATTTTTTGATATTAAACATTACGGACTAAAAAAATTTTTTTAGGCAATTAGCCTCTTGGTACTATTACTTATTCTGTGGTAGCAGCCTATTCCCTAACTAAACTAACGCCCGTTTTCACATACATTACTATGAGGTCTCACAGTGCGGGTGGACGCACAGGGTCACACATGAACCAATCATAGAGCTCTATTCAACGCTGTGCGTTCGATTTGCTGCTTCACTTAGCAAGTATCGTTTGTGAATACGGGCGTTAGATACAACCTACTTGAGTTTGAAGTTGAGTGTATTTTTGAGAATCAAACATACAAAGTAAAATAATAATGTCATCATTGTACGAGTATAATATAGTAGGTAAGTTAATAATAAGGCAAATGATGTTATTAATAACTAGCGGCCGCCCGCGACTTCGTACGCGTGGATCCTGTTTTACCCCCATTTCCCGAATTTTCTTTGCTATAAACCTCACGGAGCCCGAGACCTTTCCAACGAATGCAAAACCGTGGAAATCGGTTCGTGCGTTCTGGAGTTATAGCGTCAGGGAGGAAAACCCGACTTATTTTTATATAGTAGATAACCAAAGTTAATGGTATTTGTAAGTGTCAAACCTACCTCAAAATAAACGAAAGCCGCCATTGCATACAATTAAGAAACAAAAGCGCTTCCGTGCAGCGGGGAAGAGAGAATGATGGCTGCATTTCCTCGGTAAATAGCTTTATTTAACCTCTGAATGAACAAAGTCGACAACTTTTTTTTTTTAAATGTTCTGTTTTTAAAAATGACGACGCAATTATAAGTTCTTTTTTGGTGGTCTACGAACGAGATAGTGACATCTCTTTGTGTGGCATTGTTTATGAGTATTTTTATTTCCTTTCGAATCGTTTCTGTTGCAATAGATAGCGTTCGATCGATTCTGGACTGAAATTTTTTAGACAACACATTTAAAATATTGTATTTATTGACATATTTAATTGAATATAAAATACTTTTCATCCATTAATCAGCTCGGTGAAGGTCATTGTATGTAATTAATCTCCACGATAAGTTTTACACTTGATAGAGTTATACCTAAAGTCTATCGAACAATAAATTGAAGTATTAAACAAACAGAACGTGCTTTAAATTCGACTACCCTCCTCAGAATTCTTATCAGCGCTAAGCTTTACTTCAAACTCTCAGGGGGGGATTACTCCGAGACGTCTGCAGCCAAGAGGCTACGTCTGAGTCCAGAGGGCTACTTGAGAGGTATGAAGTAAGATAGACATTCCAATATCCTGGTTTTATACAACTGTATTTAGTACTGGCGTCTATTTGCGCGTTACACAATTTCGCGAGCATGTTTTAGAAAAGAAAGGAAAGTCAAGGAATGTGCTACATTTTAAATTTCCCCAATATCAATCCGTTTTTGCGTGATGGAATGACAAACTTCATATAATTTAGCATAAACTAAGAAATAAATTGGGAGAGGCCTTTGTCCAGCAGTGGACGTCATTCGGATGAAACGTACGAAGAACTAAACAATAAACCATTTATAAATATTACAACGGTTATGTAGGTACTTATGTCTATTGTACTATTGTAGACTACAATTATCATGGTAATAAGTACGTCAGAAAAACTAGTTGTGTGAGAAAAGTAAGGCTTAACTATTTACCACTACTTGCCACGCAGGCGGTAAATAGAGCAGAAGGTATTAAGAAATAATCCCAATATTTTAAAACATCATAACTAGCTGTCTGGAAAAGATTGCTTTACAGCAATAAGACCGCATTGTGTCGTATCTTTTGTTCCTTTCTTTTTCTTTTCTTGCCTTATGTGGTGTACTAACGTGTGTTCTATCTATCTACCCCACAATTTCAAAGGAATTGCTTGGCTTTATAATCAAAGTGCCAGGTTTACGCGGACATGTTTGTAAGGCTCCGAGCCCGGAGGGTTTCCTATGTTGAAGTGAGGAGGGATAAATGCTTGCCGTTTGTACGTCACAATGTTAAAAACCGAGTAAGTGACATTCCTTTGATCCATGAAATTCAAATGCTTAAAATATGTGCATGGATTGTGAGTTACTTTCTGTTGTATGTTAGCTTAAAGCCTTAGGCTGGGTTGCACCATTTTACTTTGACTTTAACAAACGTCAAACTATGGAGTTTGGAGATAGCCGGTGCATTTTGTATGGACAAAATGCACCGGCTATCGTTATAGTTACGGTTAAAGTTTGTAGGTGCAACTCAGCCTTAATTAAATTAATTGTGTAAAAAATGCGATTTTCAGCCTTCATGGTGTTCAATAGCTCTGTTAAAAAGAGCGGAGTGTTTTTCATGCACTTCTGATGTAAAAAAAGTTTTAGGGTGGGTTGCACCACCAATTTTAATGGTAACTATGACGATAACCAGTGATTTTTGTATGGAGTTTGACAGATTTTTGACGTTTGTCACAGTTAAAGTAAGATGGTGCAACCCAGCCTTAATGCTGATAAGTAATGAGTTATCAGTTTTAAATCAGAATATTATAAAGAACAACCCAAAAAGCTCTAACTGCTGAACGGATTGCGCTGAAAGCTGAAAGTCTCACAGATAGTTATTATGACGTAGGTATTTGCTAAGATATGATTTTCCAAAAAAAAGTTTACTACCAGCCACGGGTAAAAGCTGTATACTCGTATATCGTCGCTATGAGCTTTTCTTTGACGATTTACAAAACGACCAGGCTAGTCATATATTTGGTTTCTTTACACACGAGTCACTAAACATTTAATAATAGCCTTTATTTATACACATAATAAACATAACTGGCTCATTAATACACAAGGCTAATGAGGGAGCGACCTACTTCGATGCGGTTCCGTGTTACGAGTCAAGGAATGCTGAGCGGTGAAGCTGGTGATGTTTAAATGCGCGATGGTTCCGTATTGTTTAAAAATTCCCAGTATTAATAGACCAAAAAGGTGTTATACAAATACCTTTCAGTTAACAAAAAAAGAGGACTACCTACTTTCAAAGTTCGATGGAAGTTAAACTATATTGTTAAGTTATTATATATTATATATAATAGTGACCGATTTGTTTGGGCTACAGAAGTAGCCCAAACAGATAGCTACAGAAGTAGCTACAGAAGTTTGAAGAATCAAACCGTGTCGTTAACTCCCAAAATTTAATAAAGCTGTTTCACTGAACTCGTATATGAAATTCGTGAAACTTCATGAAATTAGGTTATTTTCAAAAAGTTAGCTAATAAATCTCCTGAGAATCTCCTGCACAGTATGGCGTTCATCCTAGCGCGGCTGGACACTAAATGCCTTAGTGGCTTACGAGATACCAAACCTTCGATGTGTTTTCTCTTTCAGCTCTTAGTGAACTATCATGTAGTCCACTCCCAAAAATTTAAAGCTTTGTGATCCAAATATAGCAAAGAAGCTGAAAAAGCATGCATTAACTGTGGCAGCTTAGTGTTAATTTTTTTTAAACGAAGAAAAGGGAAGATCTTTCGATATATTTCTTAATCGATAAATCCTTTTCATTCATGACACCGCCACAGAACCCCAAGCCCATCTGCTTAGTATTATCGCGATACTCTTGAATCTCGATTCACCGCGGGCGCATCGATCTATACCGAATCTTGCATCTTGATAAATTTAGCTGAATCCAGTCAGTCTCTCTCGCGGCGCCAAGCACACCTGTACTGTGATACGCCGCACTGTTTACAAAACGTTTTTAACGAGTTATTTTTATGAAAAAAAACACGCCGCGCCGATTTTAAACTCGAACGTTACAATGCGCAGGAGTGGATTTGCTGAAATGATGGTTTAGTGTTTGTGTTCTGTGTTTTTGGATTTGTGCCTGTTTCCAGTTTTGAGGTACGTTTTTGGTAATATAGGTTAATTGCAATCGGCATTAAAAACAATAATAGTAATTATGAGGGCTTTGTTGGAAAACGAATAATTTATTTCCTGAAAAATCTGAAAAACGTCTATGGAATAATTACTTTGAATAAACCAAAAACTTTTTTATAAAATTATCACTGTCACGGGATTTTTTAAACAGATGTTTACCTTCCCGACGTTTCAACTCGGAAAAACACTTTTTTACTTATGACTTCTTCTCTACCCTAATACTCAATACCTAAGTACTTTTAATAAATTAAACCTTTTTATAAAGTTATCTTTGAAATACATAAAGGGCTAATAGGTACTTACTCTACTGTCTTTAGAAATTATTTATTAGAAATCAACAAACACATCAATGTTATAAAAACGCTATTAAGCAAACTTATTTTAACATAAACATAAGCTTATTTTAATCTTTTTAACCTAATGACTGGTATTACAATAACTATTTTTTAGATTAATCAAATCTTGACATAAAACTACAGGTTAACCGCTTAGGAACAACCAACCATTACGTTGTCATTGTACTACTTTTGTGACTTTCCTTCGCTTTTCTTTGCAAAGTTGCAATCACGCTACGGTTAGGGTACAGTCACTCACAAATAAGAATATTTTAGGCCGAGTTATACCACCTTATTTTAACTATCCTTTTTTGAACTATAACTGTACTTTTTGTCTATACAAAAAAAAACAGATAAAGTTAAAAAAAGGTTGCTTCACACCATCTTGCTTTAACTTCAACAAAAGTATATGAAACTATGGAGTTTGATAGACTTTTGTTGAAGTTAAAGCAAGATGGTGTAACCCAGCCTTAATATTTGTGTTTATAAATAAGTTTGAATGATCTATTTATCATTGGAAATTTTCTAAAAGCTCTATTAAGATTTCCAAAAAGTTTTTTAGGATAATACTTTCTGTATCTACTGGGGATCGAACCTAGCACTTCTGTTTGAGTTGTGTAGAAACTTTCTAATCAGGAGAACTTGAAATACAGAATGATTGATGCGTTAAAGTAACAATTTTGTTTGATTATCTAAATTCATGAAACACATAAAGAACTGATTTTTATCACGCCCTAAAAGTCAATTTTGACATAATATGTTTTCGAAAGTTACGTTATTTTTCCACTGGACTGTACAGACCAAGGAAATAAAACGTTTTTAGCCCGTAACCACAACAATTGTGGCGAATGTAAATCAAATTAACTGCTCTCCCTTTAATGTTTTCACGAATAAACATCGCGAAGAAAATTGGCGCAAAAAATCATAAAGAACTACCGATTCACACTGGATTCGCATACCACATAAACTTATTAAATCGTGAATATCCAATATTTACTATTATAGAGCCAACTTTTTATAAATCACGCATTATCTAAAAGTTAGTTTAACTAATCCTGCTGCTGCTCCATGCACCTGAATTGGTTCAATCAATACGATTCAAACGCAGAATCAACACCTAATATTACTTTTTTAGACAATCATAAATTGATTCGCACCTTGTATTCAAACTGGTAATTCCTTTTCTTTTCACCTAAGAATTAAACGTAGATTTCCTGAATCTGTGTTTTAACACAGAATCTTTTAGAAATAATGAAACATTTTTTTATCCATGAAGAAGCATTCTGCCTGCATCTCATCTGATGGAAAATGATGATAAGGCCGAAGGTGAAAGCGAGCTTCACCCGGAATACTCAATCACGGAAGAACTGGATCTTACCTCCAACTGCCAGCACACAACAATACTGTTTTGACCATATTGATATAAACTTTCTTTTTTATGCAAGACAAGGTATTTGACCGTCTAGGATGGTACATATTATCTGCCCTATAAGTGCCTATTCACTCTCACCGCTCGTCGTCCGATTAGTGCGAACTATAAGGAACTTCTAGATCATGGCATCATTCGATCATTTAAACTCTCAGAGAAAGAACCTCTCTTAGGTACTGGTCAAATCGAGAATTTGGAAACTATAGACCAACATTATTCTGTGTGGGCAATGTTACCAGGAAATTAATTATTTTCCCGAGGGATGTGCGAGTTAGACCCTTGTGTGACTGAATGGTTTCCATTCGGGTGAACCCGCGGGATATCCCTAGTGTAATCTAAGTAAGAGCCTCAATGCTATTTATGACTATGACTCTAAGGGTTATGTTCTCGAATGGAAGTCATTTATTCGAGACCTTATTGAGATTGTTCACGTGTGGTAAAAGGTTCACCAAAGCAAAGAAGAAATGACTCAAAAAAGGATTGAACAAACTATTAGTAAACTGAAGCAAGATACTAAGGTTCTTAAAGCTTATTAAAGCAATAATTAATTAATTTTATCATTAAAAGAGTTCAGAATTATTAAAAAAAAACACTTGACACGTGGTTATTTTAACTACGGATCAAAAAACTGGGCCCAAGATAAACATGCCATGTTTGAAATGAAAAGATAGGTACAATATAAAAAACGTTTTGCCTTTACTATAAGGAAGATGTCACTATTCAATAGATTATTAACGGGAAAAGTTTCTATAATAATAAAGTTATGTAAGTATCTTCTTATAACAAAATAATACGGCTTACTTATGATGGATGATGACTCGAGAAATACACGAACAAATAAGTATGAGTATATTATTTTTCTTGGAAAACATTGTATACTTTCACTATTATGATGATATTATATTGTTTGTAGCCTAGTTTCTTTTTTATTTTAGGCTTTGAAATCTTTTATTTACTGAGCCACATAGACATTAATTCCTTAAATAGGGCTTCAGTAGTGGACAGTCTACGCACCATAATTTACTCTGCCATCAGCTTGTCGCATTCTCTTTCTTTCAGCGACTTTCCCAAGTCATCCTCCATTTACTTAACTCAAAGGACTGCTGTAGGTTGAAGTTACTGATAATGACTAATTAGATAAATAATCTCCTCATTAGTATCATCAGGGTTTTAACTAGAAAAGAATAAAGGACTTTAACCCTTCAGTAAGACAGCAACAGCCGCGTCTATTTGCGTCGCCCTTGACTCGATTGCGACATGTCGAGACCGGTCTGCATGACTGCCCAAGATAGATAGAAATGCTAATAGAAATAAAAGAGAGACGATGAGATACACTTTGGGACTGGTCTACATGACTGGCCAAAGATAGAAATGCTAGTACAAATAGCATTGCTAGTTTCGATAACTCTTTTGTAATGCGAACAGCTAGGGACTGGAATTCGCTGCCTGCTGCTGTCTTTCCCGAAGACTATAATCCGGGCCTTTTCAAGGCGAGAGTGAATAGCCACTTACAGGGCAGATATTTTATGTACCATCCTAGACTGCATCCCACTTAACATCAGGTGCGATCGTGGTCAAATAACTCCCTTGTTATGCATAAAACAGGATTTTCTGCATGAGTGCCCCATATAGATAAAAAATCTGGTACAAATAAAAGAGACTAAGTATTGAGACAAAAAGATCAGACACGTCGAGATCTATCTACGTGATCGAGATAGACAGAAATGCTACAAGAAATAAAGAAAGAGAGACGATGAGATACGTTGTGAATAGTCTACTGCTGCCCAAGATAGAAATTCTAATAGATACCTATAAACAGAAACGAAAAGAGACTCGATGAAACTACAGCATTCATTTTGTCAGTATAGTTTTTTATTTGATTTGGATAATGTAAGATTTAGTTTAGTACATTCTACAACACATACATATTCTTATTGCAAAATGACAGCTATACTAAACGTAAAGAGCCCACAGTGTTTACTTAAATTGCTGTCTTTCATACAACGATAATTAGTAATGTGTTTATTCCAAACTGTTTTAAATAGAAAGTCTAGACAAGTCCCAAACAGTCACTGAGTAGTATCTTCCACAGTTTTTCAGATTTTAATCTAAAGCCAATTCATTCTTGTAAAGAAAACAAATAGAAAACCCAAATAGAATTAGTGGTTTCGCAAACCTATGAGCCAGTTAATTTTATCTATTTTACTCAAAATATCTTTTACCAAGCAATTCACCTTTATCATTTTCATTTCAAGAGAAATAATAGTCAATTTTCTCTATAAATAGATACACTTTCCTTTCCTCAATTTGAGATGTAGAAACCACGAATTGGAAGTTTTTCCCTTACGCGCATGATTTACGAGTATTTGGCATGGCATGAACCTCTTGTGCCTTACCTCTTAAAGCTCCTTTTAGCTTTTCACCCTTATACCGTCGGCAGTAGGGTTCAAAATTGAAATAACTACCGAGGGGTTACTCCGAAAAACATCCGAGGTTTTCGAATGTTGTCATCCCTCTCACGCAAAGCGAGATGCTAGCATGAGTGATGGAGACAGGTAGACCCGAAACTACGTAAACATAATTTCGGAGTAGCCCTGGTTGTTGTATTCCTCGGAAACACCTTTTCATCCTTATTTTGTGGCCAGCAAGGCTCAGAATTGAAAACCTAAAATTGTTCCTTGGAAAATGACTTCTTTTCTTACTTCATATCTAATTTACAGGCAACGTGATGAAGAATTTAAACTCTACAGAAGCAGAATCGTCTTGGACTTTTGTCTTGTCTTATTTAACATTCTTATTTTATCAAACAAGAATAGAAGCGTAGAATTATTTAAAGAAAAGGAAATATTGTCCGCCATTGATCCCATAGTAAAAGTGTTGCAATGGTGGGAGAGATGTGGGAAAAGTCCCATAGAAGTACATTTCTTTTTCTTTTGGGATTGAGGAGTTTTGAAGCAGGAAAACCTGACCGCATTGCGCTCTGAATTAATATAAAGTCCTCGAAGCTTTGTAAAATATCCAAAATTAGAGCAGTAGGTTCATTTGTCGACAGCACATACTATAATTTTGGAGGAAATACTCGTACTCGAACCTGAAAAGTCGCTTAATATTGGGAAAAGATGGCCATTTTCTTATTACTGCAAACACACCGTGAAAGATCTCTCACCTGGTGGAAAGAGATGACAGTAGTGCGATTCTAT